GAAATTATATATAGAATACTGCAAAAACACAGTAAGAAGACTGAAGTTTGCCCATTTCTGCTCAGGAAGTCCCTTCACTCCCAAGCTTCATGTTGTCCTTTGGCTCCAAAATTTACTACTGTTTCTCCTCCTTTTGATCTTCCTTTTGTTCCCCAGTGCCAGAACTGCCAGAGCCTTCTCGCTCAGATGCCATCTGTTAAGAAAATATGAGAGCCACTCAAATTTAATGTTTCCTCTGTTGAAATACAAAATGAAGGAACCACATAATCCTCATCCTGCACCTCTATTCCATTCTCCCAGCCCCTGTACCCTATGGGTAGTTTTTGTGATTCTTTCCCTTTGACACTACCCCACTCCCCAGGTAGAATCAAGAAGGCAGGAGGATCTTTCCAGCTCCAATACTCTCAATTCCATAAATGGCTATGGAGGGAGCCACCAGTGACAATAATCAAGAGCAGTGACATCAAGATCATATTAGAACCAAAAAACACCCTTCAGGCCTTGTACCTTTTTGTATGCCATTTCGAAGAGCTTCAGTGATGCCTGCTGAAGGGAGGATGCTGCCTGCCGGATGTTTTCTCCTGTTTCGCTGTCTTTTCTAGCCAGGATCTCCCTCATTTTGGAAATCTCTTCTTTTAGCTTGTTGCACTTAAAAAACACACACACATACAAAAATCCTCATTTTTCCAAGTCTCCTGTGCCATTACTTGTAGAAGTACTATTCAGAAACTTTTAAAGATCTAAACCTCTATCAAGAGCCACAGAAAAATCAACTTCATTGACATTGGTGACAGTACATACAACCTCTTAAGTTATTTTAAAACAACTCACCTCATCGGCAGGCAATTGGTCCTTGAATTCTTCCATCTTGGTTTCTGTGTCATGAATGATTCCTTCAGCCATATTAACTGCTTCAACTCGTTCCTTAGAGAAATCAGAAGTTTGATGTAAATGAAGACTTTCCAACCAACCAAAATCTGCTGAATGTCCATACTGACCAAGACAATAAACCATCTGCTACATACATTTACAGAGTAAAAACAGAGTGGAGGGAGCAATCACCAATCTGAGTAGTCTGGAATGACTCTGAGAGAGACTCGAGCTACTTTCTGTAACTTAAGAATTTTAATAGGGGAAACTGAGAAGATATAAGACATTCTACACCTAAATTATGAGCAATGGAGAAGGAATAGACTGATCTTGTATTTCCTCTTACCTCCAACCTGACATGTCCAAACTCCCACTTTCATGTCCCAGCTTTACTAAGGTTAAGTAGCTCAGAGAAAGACAAAAAGTAATCACCTTCTTTCGTCGATCTTCCTCAGCATACTTCTCTGCATTTTTAACCATATTTTCAATATCATCTTTGCTTAACCCACCAGAAGACTGGATTACAACTGCAGTAAAAGTAAGGCATCTCATTAGTCCATAAGTAAAATTATATGCCTCTTCTTCCTCTATTAAGAGTATTCTTGCTCTCAGTAACCAAGCTTGACACAAATTATGAAGACGAATACCCTGCTGTTCTATAATAAGCAAAATGAAACCAAGATCAAATGGCCTGCCTGCCCACCCACAGAACCCTCAGCAATCCACAGGCTCAGTTCTTGCCTGTTTTTTTTTTTGTTTGTTTTTTGGGAATAAACACTACACTTGTAAAAGTGACTCTGATAACTAAGGAGAAAAGGGAAAAGAAGACTCATCACCCTCCCTCAAAGCTCAGGAGGAAAAGATATGCCTAAGAAGATGGTCTATTTCCCAACAGAGGTCCCTTACAAACAAGGGGACTTACTCTGCTGCTCACGTCCTGTGCCCTTATCTTTAGCAGAAACATGTACGATCCCATTGGCATCAATATCAAATGTAACTTCAATCTGCGGGACTCCACGAGGGGCTGGGGGAATTCCAATCTAAAATAAAGAAGTAAATATCCAGAGTAAGCTCCTCCTACAGAGGGGTCCAGTGTTGTTATTTCCCAATCTATACGGTCTTCTGGTGAAGTCACTTGGTTCCTGGGGGGAGCAAGTGATACCTTTTACTTAATGTTATAAAAACATTATAAGTGAGGGCAATAATTTCATTGCTGTCTGAAATCAACAGGGCTTATACGAGTCAAGGTTAGCTATAGCAGGTAACCACAATGGCTGTATGTACCTAGGGACAGTGAATGACAGCAACCTCCCCACTATTGTTCATCTTACCAAGAACCAATAAGCAGTGCTGATGAGAAACCAGCAATAAATATGAAATGTCTTTTAAATGAGTAATCAGGAATTTCTGAGTTAACACTGTTTCAAAACATTTTCTTGGCTCTTAAAAGC